ATTTAAAAAAGACTTGCTGAAAAATGAAACTGAAGAATGTACAACTTGTGTTTATGGACATGAAAGGATGAAGAATGTAAAACTTGTGTTTATGGACAATGAAATTATGAAGAATATGTAAAACTTGTGTTTTATGGACATGAAAGATGAAGAATTGTAAAACTTGTGTTTAAAGTACTGATACCAGAAACATGTACTTAAGTACAGTAACAAAGTATTTCTACTCCACTACTTCCCACCTTTAAGACATGTTCTGTTGACCAATCAGATGTGAGATTTTGGGGTTTTGTGTGCAAAAAGGAAGGTAATGTTATAAAACACACACAAAGGAGGATTTAAACAATGAGTGCCAATGCAGCTGTTTGACTAACATCCTGTCTGTCAATGACAAATACTTTACAACTCTGAGGAGAGGAGGATATCCCCTCGCCATCATCCAAGGCGCTTTGTGTTTGCCCCATTTTCCTTGAGAAATGTCTGAATAGGTATAGGAAGTGGATGTGAAAATGTGCAATAAAAAGATAAAATAAAATACAACACAAACATAAGACACGAACACGCTGTTGCTGCCACAGAGTGTTGTGGCTAAAAGTGTAATTTGAATGTTATTGATCATCTCTGATAATCCTGTTGTGAATCAGTAATGTGATATCTGATCATTTATTATCCATCAGAGAGAGAAACTATCACAGCCTAAACAAACTGGAAGAGCTCTGCCGCCCCCCTGTGGTTAAGGATACAAACTGCGCCCTGTCTCTATTTATGTCGTTTTTGGTTAGAAAAGTGTAATTTGAAGTGGACATATCATGCTATATTCGAGCAATATATTGTAGGTCCATACCTATATAAAGTATATAAATTTTTTCAAAATACCAAAACGATCCTGCATTTTAGCCATGCCTCATTTCGCTCTATTTGCTCTTTCCAGCTGTGTTTTTGCAGGGCGCTGACTCTGTGAGCTGCAGCTGACCAACGCCCCCCCTGCAGGAGAGGGGAGCGTGCCTCTGAGATCAGCTGCTAGGCTGCAGCGGGGAGAAGAGGGGGAGTAAAAGAGATCTCCCTCCTCCGTGTTTTATTCTTATAGAAGTAAGAAGAGAAATAACGGGGCAGAAATCCTCCAACAGATAGTACGTTTTTACGGTGAAAACAATGCAGAAATATGTACCTATATACACAGGGGCCACAAGGTCCCTTGAGGTGGTTCACAAGGTCTTTTTGTGTTGGGAGAGATTTAAAAGGAGGTAGGGTTCTTAGGATTTTTTTCCCGAGGTTGCCTACGACTATGTCTGCTAGGTCTAAACCTTGTGACAGGGACTGCAGTACTGCCACCCGCGAGTGCCGGATAACCAGTTAAGAGGTGGATAGTCCTCTTACTCTCCAACCCGGTGTCCGGGCCGGTTAACGACGAGCTTTCGCGAACCTCTGCGACATCATGTATACGGTCCGACATTACCGCGACATCAGACGGTGTTTTCGTCACTTTCTCTGAGAGGAACGTTACCAACGGTGCCAACGGGAAGACAAATAAGAGGCGAAACCGGAGAAAAAGAGGCGAGGGCGTCCTGTTCGGCAAACGTGGGTAGGACGAAATTTTGTTTACTTATTACTGAGATATATTAGTATTACATTGCTTAGTACACGTCCCTGCGCCAGTAATACCCCTTTTCTTGTGTTCTGTCGGCTAGTCCTCGGGCTGCGGCTTCGTTCTCCCTAGATCTAGCGTACTTCCACAAAGAAAAGGGGTATTATGGTTTCAGCGACGTGTAATCCGATAGGCGGAATTTAACTGTACGTAGGCGATTCTTTTTATCAGGCAACGAATGACCAAACTTGATTTGAATCGTGCCAGTCCTTGACGAAGCTATGCAAAAAACTTCCTCCAAAACTAATTGTCTAAACTTTTGTAACAACGAACAAATTTTCATCGTGTTAAGTAATACAGGTTTGGAACTTTTCATAGATTCTATAGGGCGGGATTACGTTTTCCTTGACGTGTGACTTATACACAGCGGCAACCCTACAGATACTAGACCTGGCAAC